CATGGTTGGGGTACTGAAGCTTGTTTCTCCCAAGGAACTGTCTTTTCCACCTTCCTCAATAAACCTTTCAGTGTTTGTATCTTTCACAGAAGTCTTTGTTTCTGCAATCTGTCTTTTCCCTTGAAATGATGCACTCTTTTATTCACTTGGCCAGAGTTGTGGAACCCCTCATTCTCATTGTCCTGTTTTTTTTTTTTAATATCTATGTGCTCTTTTTTAAATATTTATTTTTTAGTTGTAGCTGGACACAATACCTTCATTTTATTTATTTTTATGTAGTGCTACGGATTGAACCCAGGATCTCGAGTACTCTACTGCTGAGCCACAACCCCAGCCCACATTATCCTATTTTGTTATTAGTATTAAAAACATATCTAGCCAGGCACAGTGGCACAGGTCTGTTATCCCAGTGATCCAGGTTGAGGCAGGAGGATCGCAAGTTCAAGACCAGCCTTAGCAACTTAGTGAGGCTCTGAGCAACTTAGTGAGACCCTGTCTCAAAATAAAAAGTAAAAAGGGCTGAGGATGTGGCTCAGCGGTAGAGCACCCTTGAGTTCAATCCCCAGTACCAGAAATAACAACAACAACAGCAACAACAACAATAAAACATATGCATGCATTGCTAATGTATTCTCATGACTAATGGGGCATCTATCTAATAGGTTCTTCTCCTGGGAGAGATGGATTGCATTTACCCATAAGTTTCTCTTTAGGAAATTTGACTACCTGTCAACTCAGGATCCCCTTCTCCTTGGTCATGAAGTATAGGCACCAGCACTCGTTAACTGTTTGAACCTCCTTCCCATCTGGTTATCATGTGTAACCACATGTGCTGATCAGTCTTTCCTCTTTTGGGAACAGTTCCAATTTTTTCCAGATCTATTTGGCTCACATACAATTATCTGTTTTTATATTTTTCTATTTACTAATGGAAATAAACATACATCTCTTAATTACAATGGATGAACTTTGAAGAAATACACCATTCTTTTTTTTTTTTCATTAAAACCTGTAAAATGTCAAAAGTCCTAATTATTCACTCTTTTGCATTATGTTATTTTTTGGTAACAGTTTATAACAACTTTTTTCTTTTGAATATTATGAATTCAAGCCTTTTATAAACTATAGCAGACACTCTTTGGCACCTACCTCCCAATCATTAATCCAAACTTCTCGCTTATTGGAGGAGCCCCAAATATGTTTGGGTGTCCATAATTGCTCAATTAAGTTAGGGCTAAGTTCTAACTAAGTCAAGAGAATCACAGTGGTTCCATCTCCTTTGCCCATTTAATGGTTTCAGGCTTGACACTCAGTTTTGGGAAAAGAGATAAGAGGAATGTGATGTTTTCAGATTCAAAATGGAGTCATTTATGTCAAATCCTAACCAAAGAGAGTCAGGAAGCCATGAGCACATTTGCCTGATAACAGGGAATATCCCAAGAGACTCCGGAACTGCAACTTTCTTGCTGAGGCCATTAAAAAAAAAAAAAAAATGTCTGTCCAGTAGTAGCCTATCCAGACTTGGACTGATACTACTTTTTTTAAAATTAATTTTTGTAGCCAAGGATTATTGTTTCAAAAAGCTTATGTAATAATCCTCATTTGCCTTTAAAAACCTTTGTCTCCCACCCTCCTTCTCTTTCTTTCTTTGTGGTAACTGAACACAGGGGCACTCTGCCGTTGAGCTATAGTGTTAGCACTTTTTATTTATTTTTTGAGACAGGGTCTTGCTAAATTGCCCAGTCTGGCCTCCAAATTCTGGTCCTCCTCCCTCAGCCTCCCGAGTCTCTGGGATTACAGTCTTTGTCTTTCTATGCCCACCTGGTTATTTCTATGAGTTGCTATGACTTGCATATCCAGGATTCAGGAACAGTCCCCTGCTGTTCCTGAATTAACACTGTGTTCTAGAGAGCTGTTTTTTGTTTGTTTGTTTGTTGTGGCTCATTTTGGATTGATGGAAAACAGCTGGATGGTTTCTGAGAAAACTTTCTCGGCTCTTAAAAAGAAAGCATAAAATGCTCCTTCTTTTTCCACTAGATATTGTGTCTATATGGGATTATTGGAACGATAGCAGTTATTACATGGTGCCACCATAACATAATTAAAGAGGTAACCTATTGAGGAACTAACCGATGAAGAATGACAGAATGGAAAGATCAGGGTAAACCCAAAAGAAAGCCCCCTAAAATACCTTGGGTTGCTTGGTGATATTGTTGAACCAGTGACCCAAACAACCCTACAGCCAACCTACCTTATGAACTTCTTATTTCCTAATTTTTCCCAATTGTTTGAATCATTTTGAATTTTTATGTTAGTTGCAATCAAAAGTATTCTGACACACGTATCTATTTTTTAAAAATATTTATTTTTTAATTGTAGTGGGACACAAAGGTATTGTATCTTTTTAAAAATTTTTTTAATATTTTTTAGTTGTAGTTGGATATAATACCTTTATTTATTTGTTTTTATGTGGTGCTGAGGATTGAACCCAGGGCCTTGAACATGTTAGGCGAGTGCTCTCCCGCTGAGCTACAACCCCAGCCCCTGTACCTTTTTTTTAAAATGTATTTTTATGTGGTGCTGAGGATTGAACCCAGGGCCTCACACACACTAGGCTAGTGCTGTATCGCTGAGCCACAACCCCAGCCCCACATATCTATTTTAATGAACCCTATTTATTGTTTTTTTTTTTTGCTACTCAAAATATAACAATGTGCCTAGTGGGAGCCCTTATAATTGAACATTAATACCTCTTAATACTGTCTGTGACTTTTTTGAGAGAACCCTTACCTTTTAACCACAACAGTATGTTCTGGGCTTATTCTATGTTGTTTATACCTGCCAAAAGACATGGAATCAGCTATCCTCCAAGGGTCCAAGTTTCTTTTAGTGGAGAATAATATTGTAGAACAAAATCAGGGCTTTAAGAAGCTGATGTAGGTGGGTTGGGGTGGTGGCTCAGTGGTAGAGCATTTGCCTAGCATGTGTGAGGCACTGGGTTCAATTCTCAGCACCATATATAAATAAATGAATAAAATAAAGGTTCATCAATGTCTAAAAATATTTTTTTAAAAAAGAGAGAAGCTGATGTAGGTAAAAAAAAGGACCATTATGTCTTTTTGGACCCTGTTAGTAGTGCTAGAGTTGGAAAGGTTAATTTTCCTTATATAAATAGTTGCTACAAGTAAATAAGAAAAAGACCAAAACCCAATAGAAAAATGAAATAGCCAGTTCACAAAAAAGGAAACATAAATAGCTCCTATAATATGAAAAGATGCTCAACTGTAGCCATCAAAAAATGCAAATTAAATTAAAATGGGGGTGCCATTTTTACCTATCAATAGAAGTGGTTATTATCACGCCATTGACATAGGCATTCTCATATCTTGGCTACTGGTGAAAGTGTAAATTTGTACAACTTTCTATGGCAGGAAATTTATCAATTTCTGCCAAAATTACACTTCCTTTTGGCTTATAAATTCTATTTCTAGGATTTTGTATTACAGATATGGTTACACAAAAGAAATGATGTATGCACCAGATTTATTCCTTTCAACAACAACAAAAGTTACAAAAGATTGTTGATTACTTAAAGTCTACCAATAAGGGACTGGCAGAGTATATACAGCAAAACTGTAGTTACCTTCACAAATAACAAGGAAGTTTTTAATGTTTTAATGCTAATATGAAATGATTTCCTGATTTATGTTGCACTATGGAAAAAACAAAGTGCAGAACAGTGTATAAAATGTGCTACCATGTGCAGGAAAAGAACAAAAATTATAGGTATACATTTGCTTGGGAATGTGCACAGAAGACACTAGCAACAGTGTGAACAGGGTGGATTGGAACTAGCAGAGAGGAAGAACCTAGTGAATATCACTTTGTACATTCTGAATTTTGAATTATGCGAATGTACTTTTGCCAAAAAGTAAATGAATCGGAAAATATGTGTTACCAACATATTTCCATCAACTTCTTTAGTGTTACTAGGTGTGCAGTATTCCATGGCATGGTGGCACCAGTTTATTTAAAATTTGTGTATTATTTACATTGCCTAATAGTTATTTGTTTACCTTATCTCCCCAAAAGGAACAATTTATTTATAATTGATTTTTTCAGCTCAGTGTGTTTCAGAAAATGCTCATTGACATCCTCAAGCCCAGACAGTGTGCTAATGCCAGGGGAGACAAAATTGAATTGTGTGGAGAATGTGGTTCCTGCCTAAGAGGAGCTCACATTAGTGGGAGTTATAGACATATAAATTACCACTATGCATTATGAAGTGTGCAATAATAGGAATATGTACAAGAGGGAAAGTCATAGAGGGAAAGTTGATTTGCTCTGCCTCAGTGAGAGGGGTAGAATTGCCAGGGAAGACTTTGCTGAAAAACTGGAGTTTAATCAGAGTTTGGAAGGATACACAGAATGTTCTAGGAGTAGGTCCTTGGAGAGAAGAGCATGGGGCATTCTGGGGAACTCATGGTTTCAGTCCAATGTGGAGGACCAGGCAATGAGGAAGGAATGCTGTAGGATGAGGAGAAGGAGGGCAGATGGGGATAACATAGGTGTTGAATATCAAGAAAGTTCATATCTGCAGATAACAAGGAAGGCAGACGCTTTTAAGCTCCAAAGTAATGAGCACAAAGGAAGCAAAGTGTACAAAAATTGATCGAATCCTTCAAATGCTGCGGAAGACCATGTCTTCTCGCCCACTACCTCTCCACTGCAACCTTAAGCGCGTCCTATGACCTGGGAGAAGCAATTTGCGAGGAGTTCCTATGTGTTTAGGTGGAGGAGGACTTTCCAGTCGTTCGGATTTGCCCCAAAGTCCACCCTAGGCGCTCACTCTTCTCACTGGGTTTTCCCGGGATTAGGTGTTGATTCCTTCTTGTAGGCTTTCCGCTCAAATCCTCTTCTGCTTCCTCCTCCCATCAAGATAATGGTTTGTACGCCCTGCCCCCAATAGGGCCCCGCCTTTTGGGGACTGGGGCTGAGCTCTAAACTGATAGAACTGGGGGCCCCTGATCATATTCTGGCGAGGTCGGGTGGAGACGTGCCACTGACGACCCGACTTTCGAGAGGGCGGGGTCTCGGGCTCTATTATTTAATGCTTCCACCCTTCTTCGTTCTCAGAACCCGTTAAGCGGCTTTGAGCAAGATGGGTGTCTATCGCGTCCGCGTGTCCACTGGTACCTCTCTCTACGCGGGCTCCGCTAACCAGGTGCAACTGTGGTTGGTCGGCCAGCACGGGGAGGCGGCGCTCGGCGTGCTGCTAAGGCCAGCCAGAGACCAGGTGAGCTGCAGGGAGTCGGGTGGGTGGGCTGCGCCCTTGGCCTGAGATGCGTCAAGTCCCGGTGACTAGGCGCGTCCCAGCCCGCCTCCTCTTTATCCGAGCTGAGCGTGCGAGCCTACGGCTCCAGGGGGTCTGCCGCGTGCAGCGGCCTAGAGGGTTTCTTAGAGGGCTTCAATAACTGTCCTCGCTCCTGGCTTCCTTGGAATTGACTTGGCTTCCCCGCACACCTCATTCCACAGAGTTCTATTGTCACCAAACACTGCGGTCACCGGAGCAGCCGTCTGTCCTGTTTTCCTATTTTTAAAAGCTGCTCTCTCAAATTTTCTCTACTGGTGCTAGATCTCTGATCTTGGGGACTTGGAATGGGGGAAGGGTGGGAGAAAGGAGGCAAGACCTGTGAACTCTCAGTTTCCTTGCCGTTTCTGTTACTTTTTTTCACCTGCTGACTCCCAAATTCCCATCATCCGTCCAGCTGTCTCCCAGCCTTCCAGATCCGGATGCTGGCCCCAAGGATGTTTCAGAGGAATGTGTAGAAAGGAGATGCCCCTCTTTTTCACTATTAACCCTCCCCTGTCTTTTCTCTCTTGGGCATGTCCCCCATCACTGTTCTGATAAATGCCTCACCCCGATCACCAGTGTCTCCTTGACCTTGTGTCACCTTCACCCTCTTAGCTGGCTTTCCCGCCTCTGTTTCTAACCCTTCTGAAGCCAGTCAATTTCTCCCCCAGTATATTCCCGACCTTAAAACAAAATTCTCCTGCTGAAAACATTTGAATGGCTCCCGCTTGTTTTCAGGACCAAATCCAAAACATTGGCTTAACTTTTAAGACTCACCATCGGATCTTGCGCGTCTGGCGCTTTGTGCTCCAGTTCCACGAAGCTGGTGGCCTTCTCCGCCTGCTCTCTCTGTGGACTCTGCCTGGAACACCTTTTCCTTGCCTTTGCCTCGCTCTCACTCCCAGCTGACTAAGCCCTCTCCACCTCAAGGCTTCCGCTTGGATAGAATGTCTTCTGGGAAACCTACCTCCAGGAGGGGCGGGGTGCCTGGCCGCCCTCAGCCTTGGCTGGGGTCTCACCGCTGTAACTATGGGATCGAGCTCCTCTGCCAGCATAACAGTGTGCTCTTCAGCCTGCAGCGCAGGGTTCCCAGTGCCTGATCCTTGCGAGCGCTTGACCCAATCAATGAAATAGGGAGGAAATTAGGAAAGAGAGCACCTTTCCATCTCTTGTCCTTTACCTTCTCACTGTGGGTTGAGTTATTTGGCATCTCAGAATAGGGTCTTGGGGGCCCCTGCTCAATGTGGACTCCCTTTATCTCGCTCCCCTTTCCCTGAAGTCCGGGGAAAGCAGTCCAGGGAAAGCAAGACCCAGCCCAAGTACACAATCCTGTGGGTCCCACTGATTCTGAACCTCTCAGCATGGATGCTGAATTGTCGCCTACAGGAACAGGAGTTCAAGGTGGAAGTCTCAGAGTACTTGGGGTCCCTGCTGTTTGTGAAAGTGCGCAAAAGGCACCTCATTAAGGATGACAACTGGTTCTGCAACTGGATCTCTGTGCAGGGCCCTGGAGGTGGAGGGCCTGAGTACAGGTTCCCTTGTTACCGTTGGGTGCAGGGCAACCACATCTTGAGCCTTGCTGAGGGCACTGGTAAGCACCAGGGACAAGTGTGTGAGAAGGCACAAGAGAGGCTGAAGGTCTGTGTGTGTGTGTGTGTGCGCGTGCGCAGATGTGGAAGCTAGAACCTGGAGGGTAGGAGTTGTTTGGGAATTGTCAAAACAGAAGGTTACTGGCACAGGTGTCAAGGAGACAGGAGAGGGACATGAAGCTGTAGGGGCCAGCTAGAAGGACCAAGAAGATAGGGATAGGGTCAGGCCCTCAGTGAAGTCATACCATGCCCTCCTTTACTTTCAGGCTGCACAGTGGTTGAAGACTCTCAAGGCCTTTTCAAGAAGCACAGGGAAGAGGAACTGGAGGAGAGAAGGAAGTTGTACAAGTTAGTCTCCTGTAGGGCATGATGTAACATGTGGGGCATGTTGCATCAGAAAAGAGAAAACCTAACTTGCTGGCTGCTACCTGCTTCCTGGTCCTGGGGCCGTACATGGCTAGGATGGTGTCTGGCAATCAGCCAGAAGGCATTACTGTAGGTTGTGACACAAAATCGGACCACCTCTAGGATAGAACACCTCAGAACCCTTCTGCCCTGGTGGACAGCTCGTGTCACCCATTACCATATACCCTGTAGGATGGGTATACACATGAACTCTCCCCACCCTGCTGACCTTTATCCTGATTGGCTCCTGTACATTATATTAGTTGTGTGTGTTTTCCCAATAAACCAGCTCCTGCTTTGACTGGTCTCCCTGATGCATCTGATTGTCCTCTGGCGAGGGACCCTCTCCTTTCTTGACTCGTCCAGTCGGGGCGAGCTCTCCCCATCTCTCCCGCAGGTCGTAGGTTGGGAGGGAATGAGGGCTAAAAACCCCAACAGTCGCCCATCCCCTGACTCATGATGAGTGGTTAATTCTCTGGAATACCAATGCCTGATTTTATTTCTGCCCCCGCAGGTGGGGTAACTGGAAGGCTGGCTTAGTCCTGAATGTGGCTGGGACTAGTTTATCTGACCTCCCTGAAGATGAGCGATTTCTGGAAAACAAGAGAGTTGACTTTGAAGCTTCACTGGCCGTAGGGTGAGACCAAGGGGGCCCTGGTGAGAATCTTGATCTAGTGGAGGCCAATAGGCCTATGTACTGCACTGGACTGACCAGTCCAAGATAGGTGCCCGTGGCTGTAGTGTTTGCGTCTATGACTAAGTGTCTAACTGTTTGCCCTATTCTTCCCTGAAGGCTGGCTGACCTGGCTGTCAAAAGATCTGTGAATTTTCTGAGTAACTGGAATGATGTGGATGACTATAACCGGATTTTTTGGTGTGGCTACAGCAAGCTGGCTGGTTAGTCCCACCTACCCCAGTACTTCTCCCTGGACCTTTTATTACCTAGATCCCACCCAGTCTGGGTTAATGAAAGAACCAGGGTTGGGAGACCAGAGGTTTAGATCCCCTGATAAGCTGGGGTCAAATGAGGATGGTTTGGTGGGGGTCAGGAGGACCAGGAGCTCAGGTCTCATAGCATGCTCTACTGCCATTCCCCAGAGCGAGTGCGGCAGTCCTGGAAGGAGGATGCCTTCTTTGGGTATCAGTTTCTCAATGGCGCCAACCCCATGCTGCTGAGGCGCTCCATTCAGCTTCCTGAACGCCTAGTGTTTCCTCCAGGGATGGAGGAACTGCAGGCTCAGTTGCAGAAGGAGCTCAAGGTATGAACCCTAAGGAGATCGAACAGTGAAATGGGAGTGGTGTTAGCATCAACTGTGCTGCAGTAGGGTTCACCATGGGCCTGGCTTATGGCTGATTGGCAAGAAGGACTCTTACAGAAATCCTGAGCAATCCTGAGGAGTACAGCTCCATGGCTTTTCTTCCCACATGAGAGTGGTGCAATTGTGAAGGGTGGGGTGTATTAGGTGGGATGGTTGATAGACTGAGTCAAAATGAGGAAATAGGACTAAGCCTTGGTGCTATGGATTCAAGGAGTGTGCAGAACAATCAGGGCCAGAGGATTGTTAATCTGGGACAATTGATAGAGAAAATTCATAGGATTATAGGGTCAAGCAGACTTAGATTTGAATCCTGGTTCTTCTATTTGTAAGCTGTGTGAACTCAGACAAAATACCCAACTTCTCTGATTATCTATTTCATTTTCTATAAAACTGGGAATAATTCAAGTAGAATGTATACGAATTTCATGAGATAATATGCACATAATCCACTACTGGTACAAAGTAGGTGATGAAGACAAGTCAGTTTCCTTCTCTTTCTTCTCCATTTGGGGAATCAGGGTGGGGAGAAGACACCTTATGCTGAGAGAAGCCCTTGCCCTCTCCCCCACCCAGGAAGGCACCTTGTTTGAAGCTGATTTTTACCTACTGGATGGGATCAAGGCCAATGTCATCTGTAATCACCAACAGCACCTGGCTGCCCCTCTGGTCATGCTGAAACTGCAGCCTGATGGGCAACTCTTACCCATGGCCATTCAGGTGAGAGGACTTGGGATTTCTGCTCCTTGTTGGTTGGCCGTCTCAAATCAGCCCCTCATTCAAGTTCACTGAGGACCCACTCTCTGAGACACTGGAGGAGTCATTAAAGGAAGAAATGGGCAAAGTCTTTGATTTTAAGGGTTTTGCAGCCTCATTGGAAATATAGACAATACTAAAGTCAGAGACAGTCTGAAAGGAATCCCTGCAAGAAGGCCAGGACTTAGACAAATGGGAAGAGAGGAAGGACCTTTCCCCAGGGGCAAGATGTGTTGGGCAGAGAGGCCGAGGTAGAGAAGTCAGGAGATTCTCTGTGATTGGAGTGGGTGAATAATATGAGGTGAGAGGATAAAACCTAAGCCAAGCTAAGGAGTAGGGATAAGGGAAGCTGGGGATGGCTGTTGTGAAAGATGTTGTGGGCACCCTAGAGGGGAAGTTGTGTTTAGTGCCAGGTTTGGGGTCTCATGCTATAGCTCTGGGAGGTGAAGGACTCCCCTGGGGATAGAGACGGAGAGGAAAGATGGATAGGAGTGCAGAGGGAGATTCAACTGGATTCCAAAAGAGGGGAAAAGGGGGTGTCAGTCCATACCAGTAAAGAAGAAAAAAATGCCTGGGTAGGGTTTTGACTTGTCAATTTTGAAGCAATGGGGAAACATTCAAACTGTCTAGCAGGCAGCTGAGAACTGGAGACCCAGTCCTCTGTGCAGAGGTGATGTAGGAAGATCAGAGAGAGGCTGAGGTTTCTGAACAAGACTGTGGGATGAAGGGTTTGATTCCTGTCCACATTGTGGGAACTGAAAGGGGAAGTGGAGGCAGGAGAAGGCTTGGTTTCTGCTGAAGGCTGAGCGCATTGAGGCTTGTCCAACATCAATGCACTGCTCTGAATGGATAAGAGAAGGGTGGTGGTGGGAGAAATGGTAGCTGGAGTGGGAAGATGGAGAAAGACAGGGAAATGTGGAGGAGGAAGGGACAGGTAACATGCAAGAGAGGGAAAATGGTTGGGCACCTGACACTCAGCCCCTCTTCCAACTTTTTCTTCCCACTCTTGTCTTTGCTCCAGCTCCAACTGCCAAAGATCGGATCTATTCCGCCACCGCTTTTCCTGCCCACGGATCCCCCAGTGGTCTGGCTCTTGGCCAAATGCTGGGTCCGTAGCTCTGAATTCCAGCTTCATGAGCTGCAGTCTCATCTTCTGAGAGGACACTTGATGGCTGAGGTCTTTGCTGTGGCCACCATGAGGTGCCTTCCATCAGTACATCCTGTCTTCAAGGTAATACCTTATTCCCAACTCAACTCTCTTGCCTGCTTCTCTTTCCACCTCACTGCACATTCCCGCCTCTGGAGGGGTCCCCGTGTGATATCTCAGTGCTTTTTGAGAACCAGCAACGGAAAACAAGAGAGCTAGGGAGTGGGAGAGGGCCTGTCCTGCATTCTCAATTGCTTTTGTCACCTCCCAGTCCCAAGGGGGCGAACATGTTTCTTGGGGAGAGGAGTAAAAAAATTACTGTTTTTTTTTTTTTATCTATAAAGCACAGATATTCATACGTTAAGGCTAATGACTAAAGATTCCATCCATAGGGGACCGTGCAAATAACATAAAAGACTTTCACATAAAAGATTTGAAAAGTTCTAAAATAGTAACATAGGCCAGTTAAAGGGGCTCAAGTCAGCAATTAGGGCAACACATTCACTCATTCAAAATGGTTATTGGGTGCAAGAATCATTCTAGATGCCAGTGGTAACATCTGGATCAGACAATGTCCTGATCTTTTGGGATTTTCATCTCCAATGAGGGCAGACTATAAAGATTGTGTTGCAATATAGGGGCTGTGACAAGTACGACAGAGGGAATCAGAGCAGGGTGGTGTGATGGTGAGTTTAGATTGGGTGTCAGGAAAGGTTCCCTCAAGGAAGTGACATAAAGGGTGAGAAAACAAGAAGCCAGCCAATGAAATGGTCAAGGGCCCTCGGTGTTCCAGGCTAGTGGGACAGCCTGTGCAGGGACCCTGACATAGAATGATCTTGACTTGTCTGAAGAACAGAAAGAAGGGGAGTGTGGTGGATAAGGGGAGAGGGAAGCAGGAGATTCTGGAGGCAGGTGTGGGTCTTACCTCGAAGGGGACTATTATTCCCCTCAAGGGAGTGTGTGACAATCACTGTGTGTGTGTGTGTGTGTGTGTGTGTGTGAAAAAATATTATCTTCATGTATAAAGCATAGATATTATAGCACAGAAACAGGTATACAGTCTGTTTGTAGCATTAACATTTCTTGGATGAATGTGAGATTAGGAAAAAATGTCTCAAAAATATTCTTATGGGGGTTTTAATAAAAAATTTTGAAGAATATTCACCTAGACTTATGAAAAGAATATGAGAAGAAAAGGAGAGTGATTTCTTTCAGTTATCAAAAAGCACTAAGCCAGTGGTTTGTGGAAGGAGTTAGGCAGTGCAGATTAGTAGCAAACTCTTGGTGTTGAGGGGCCACTGAGCCCCAGGTCTGTGCTTTTCCTGAAGACCTGTTCTTTCCTCCCCTTTCCACGCTGGTTTCTGCAGGGTCCTGCTACAGATCTCTTTTGACTTTGCCCTTGCCTGCTTTTCTTCTTTTAGCTTATAGTTCCTCACCTGCGATACACCATGGAAATTAACCTTCGGGCCAGGAATGGGCTGGTCTCAGACTGTGGAATTTTTGACCAGGTATGGGGAAAGAAGGGGGGATTCAGATTCTGGGTTCACTCTCCTTGCTGGCTCTAGCTTCTGACAGCTTGACTTGCCTGTCTCTCCTCAATCCTCAGGTGGTGAGCGTAGGTGGGGGAGGCCATCTGGATCTGCTGAGGCGTGCTGGAGGTCTTCTGACCTATAGCTCATTATGTCCCCCTGATGACTTAGCTGACCGGGGGCTCCTGGAAGTCAAGTCTTCCTACTATGCTCAAGATGCACTGCGGCTCTGGGAAATCATCCGTCGGTAAGGCAAGCACGGAGGCAGGGCAGGTGGGGTGAGGGTGAGGGTGGAGAAGAAGGCTAGGAGAACAGGAGGGCTGTATCTTGGTTGGGGAGCTGGATGCCCTGAATTGGCCATGTGAACAAGGAGCTGAGAGCTTCAGCTCTTCTTGCCCTGACCTCTTGTCTGGCAGGTATGTGGAAGGAATTATGGATCTGTACTATAAGACAGATGTGGCTGTGAGAGATGACCCTGAGCTGCAGAACTGGTGTCGAGAGATCACTGAAATTGGGCTGCTAGGGGCCCAGGACCGAGGTAATCAGAGTTCCTGTCCTCAGAACTAAGACAAAAGTTATAAGAGACCTCTCCAGAATCCTCTCTTCTTATGTAGAATCTTCCAGAAGCATTTCCAACCCATATAAAATCCAAAAGCCTCCTAGACACAGTAGGAGTAGTGCTAAAAAATGTTTATCAACTGGCTCTCCAGAAAAAAGAGCCCTGCCTGGTAGCATTTGCCCATTTCTGTGACTACCAGCATGCTGAACAGTTGAGAAGTTGACATCTTTGTGAGCCAGCCCCAGCACCTGACTGATTGGGATCCTCCCAGCAGAGGTCCTCCATCCCCTGCCCCGTACCGGCTCTCAGGTCAATTTCCACAGGTCACTGAGAGTTGCTGGCATCCCTCTTTACTACCCTTTTCTCCTCTCTTTGCCTTATCTCTCTCAGTTCTGCTCCTATGCCTGACCCCACAACTTTAACTCTCCCCACTTCTTGTAGGGTTTCCCACCTCTCTCCAGTCTCGGGCCCAGGCTTGCCACTTTGTCACCATGTGCATCTTCACCTGCACTGGGCAGCACTCTTCCATTCACCTGGGCCAGGTACTTAACCTTGACTGTTAACCTGGGCAACGGGGAATTTGTGGCCTTCAGTGGGGGGAGGGAGCTGAATACAGGTGAGCCAAAGGGTTTTCATGCTTAGCAGGCCTTGATTCTAGATTCCTGCTCCTATTTAGTTGGATTGGTTCTCTTGGATCCCTAATGCACCCTGCACCATGAGGCTGCCCCCACCAACTACCAAGGATGCCACTATGGAGACAGTGATGGCCACACTGCCCAGTGTTAATCAGGCTACTCTCCAGATGTCCATCATTTGGCAACTTGGCAGACGCCAGCCCATTATGGTGAGAACCAGATGCCCCGAGGGCCTGGGGAAGGAGGCAAAGGGGGAGGTGTGGTGCCCTGAACGGGGCTCATAGGTTCTAAGCTGTGTTTTCCTCTCCATCCCAGGTGCCTCTGGGCCAGCATGAGGAGGAGTATTTTTCAAGTCCTGGGCCCAAGGCTGTGCTGAAGAGGTTCAGGGAGGAGCTGGCTGTCCTGGACAAGGAAATCGAGGTCCGGAATGAAAACCTAAACATACCCTATGAGTACCTGAGACCCAGCCTGGTGGAAAATAGTGTGGCCATATGAGTGTCCCAAGCTTTTGGTTGTTTTAGCTCTCCTCCGCCCAAACCACAGCCACCCTTCCCAAATGTGACCTTTCCCTTGTCTCTGCCCCTTGGAACATATTTCATTTTAGATGCGTCATCTAGGTGCCTCTATTCTTTCCTCTTTTCCTCCCTCCCTCTCTTCTTTGCTTACCATTCAGATCTCCTCTAGGGCCAATAATAGCCACCTTTTACAAACTATTTCAAGAATATGATAGAATGATAGCATATATATTGCACCACACCTTTTATGAATTGAATTTGATTTTGAACCTAAATTTTAATAACAGCAAAAGATGTTTTACACTAGTGATAGAAAAGAGCTTACACCCAGCTATTTTAAATAAAGTATTGCTAAAAGAATATAAAGCATCAAAAATTTTTTTTCTTTTTTTTTTTTTTTTTTACTGGATAGGATTTAGCATGTGTCCTGAAGCCAGACACATACTATAATGCAAACCATTAACACAGAGATTCTAAAAAAAAAAAATGTCGACACTCAGGATTTTCATTTTATGACTCACTTAGAAAATGATAAGTGAAGGTAAGCTGTCAAATTTAAGAAGATGCTCTGGAGAGGTTTAGTCTCAGGTTTCAGCCTGAGGGATTCATCTCTCTAACCTATTTGCAGTTTATCAGTTGGAAAGTTCAAAATTAACATACTTCATGGGAAGAATACTAAAAATCTATTGATTGTCTTAGTGAGCACAACAAGGATTCAAGGAAATTCAACTCTGTATGTGGGTAAAATTAGGAAAAACAAACTTGGGAGTTTTGTTTCTTCATATAATAATAATCTGTAACCATCCATTTAAAAGCAGAAACTAATAGTATACAGGAACCAAAAACGTTTCCTTTACAATATAAGCAAAGTTGCTTCTTGCCCTGATTCTATTTGATTTTACAGAAGTAATGGATGATAGTTGGTCTGATTTTTTTTTTTTTTTTTGGTACCGAGATTGAACCCAGGGGCATTTTACCACTGAGCTACATATCCAGCCCTTTTTATTTTGTATTCTGAGACAAGGTCTTGTTAAGATGCAAGGCTGGCTTTGAACTTGAGATCTTCCTGCCTCAGCCTCCTGAGCTGATGGGATTACAGGTGGGCACCACCATGCCCAGTTTGGCCTGATTCTTAAGACAGAATTAGAAAAAAATTAGTTGAGAGGTCGGGGGTGGAGAATTTAATGGTAGAGTACAGGAAAATCTGCAAAAGGCAGGAGAGCAGAATATTGGCAAATACAGGTTAGGTCATACTGCAGGTTGTTCTTATATAATATATTCATAGGAACAGAAAGGTGTGACCCGGCAACTGAGCAGAAGGGAACTGCCCTGGAGAGGGCATAGCTGGAACAGTCTTGAGATCAGCCATGCACAGTGGCACACACCTGTTGTCCCAGCTAATTGGGAGGCTGAGGCAGGAGGATTGAAAGTTCTAGGTCAACCTGCGCAACTTAGACCTGATCACAAAATAAAAAAAAAAAAAAAAAAGGATGCCCCTGGGTTCAATGCTCAGTAGCAGTGGCCGTAAGGTCCAGAGAAGACCTGACTTTCCGGGAACCTTCCTCAACCCTAACCAGACCATGCCATGGAGCTCTCCTCTTCCTCTATCTTGCTCCTTTCCATGCCAGTCTCTGTCATGGGTGATCAAGTGTGGGACATGACGGTGTGATGTCTGTGAGAAGCTAGAGAAAAAAATATGGGAAATACTGCAAAGACAATTGACGGGAGGTGGTAATGTTTTACATAGCCACAAGACTAGGTATGGAGAAAGGGGAGAGGATGAATCCAAGGACTTAAGGCTGGTTGGGGGTGGGAAGATAATTTTTATCTTAAATTTTTACAATTGCTATATAATACCCATACAAAAAAAAGTGCATGGAATGTAAAGTCCTGCTTGATGGGTCATCACCAAGAGGACAATCATGTAGCCACAGCCTGGAGCAAGAAAGAAAACTTTCCCAGCATCCCAGAAGGACCCACCCACCTACCAGTATTACTTTTGATTGAAAAAAAAAATGCATTTTTTCCCCAGTACTGGAGATTGAATGCAGGGCATCCCACATGTTAGGTAAGTGCTCTGTCATTAAGCTATATCTCTGGCCCTTTTTCAGATTTTTATTTTAAGACAAGGTTCTTACCAAGTTGCTGAGGCTGGCCTGGAACTTGAGGTCCTCCTGCCTCAGCCTGCAGAGTATCTGGCATTCCAGGCAACAAATCATTCCAGGTGTGCGACACCATGATTAGCTGTCTCTTGACAATGGTTTGTTTTCTGTTGCTTATCCTTGCACTCCACAATTTAAAAAAATAATATTTATTTTTTAGTTGTCGTTGGACACCATACCTTTATTGTATTTATTTTATTTATGTGGTGCTGAGGATCAAACCCAGGGCCTTGCACTTGTTAGGCAAGTGCTCTACCGCTGAACCACAACCCAGTCCTCCATAATTTTTAATAGTATAGAAGATATTGTGTCTAGAGCAGCATAAACTGAAATAAATAGCACTCATGCTTAGAAATGGGCTTGCTCTTCCTTCTATGAGGCAATGATGGTGGGGTATTGAGTCAATCTTGTCAGGAGAGAAGCTGGGTTGGGTTTTGATGTTGGGTTTGTTTGCTTCAGCACAGTACCACCTTCAAGTTCCTTTGGTGTTATCTTTGTGCTTAGGGTGGGGCCAGGGCACCAGCGGGTTCCTATGCTATCAACAGCTTCTAGACTTTTCTGTTTCTGAACAGTGCAGGGAGTCTCTCTCTCCATTTTCTCATAGTGGCTGCTTGTTAGCCTGGTAGTGGGGTGGGACGAGGGCAAGGGACTTTCTCTTTGGCTGTGGTCCAACCTCAGTTTCAGGAAGCCCTCAGTATGCCTGTGTCTGGGGCTCTCTCTGAATCTGCAACTCCTACGTGTGGCAGCCAAAGTTTGGGGTCTTGTGTGGGAGACAGAGTTCCTGGCTCTCTCTCAGGGGACCTCTACTAATGTTGATACGGAATTGTCAGCTGAGGGAGGTTCCCGGTCCTTCTTCCAGGGATCTGGAATGCTGTTTGTGCTCCTCTTCCATTGGTCTTCTCCCATGCTCTGGGGTGACTGGGTTTGCATTCCCTCCCTCTGGCAGCTTAGGTATTGTGTTCTGTAAGGAAGAAGGTTCCAGGCGGGACCTTCAGAATTTCCTGCAGTGGTGGTTGATCCTCCTGCAGGTCTACACCAGGGAGGGAGGCTCTCTCTCATCTTTGGTCATGTCCCCAGTCTTTCTCCTGAGCACCTGGGGGGAAGTCGGCAGAGAAGAGCCCATGGGCATGAATTGTTTCCCTTATGTCTGTAGCTCCCAGGAGTTCTATGCTTTCACACACTCACACTTGCCTTTAGCAGTAAGTTAAAAAATTTAGCTGTTATCATTTGCTGGTATGGTAGCAGAGCTTCTGATCTGATACAGGGGCCTGCCTTTCAGAACTTGGAGGAGCAACTCTTTTTTTTTTTTTAGTTGTAGATGGACACAATATCTTTATTTATTTATTTTTATTTGGTGCTGAGGGATCGAACCCAGTGCCTCACACATGCAAGACAGGTGCTCTACCACTGAGCTATAGCCCCAGCCCAGAGGGGCTACTCTTTATTCAGACTTCAGGCTACTTGGTTGCCTTTCAACCATGGTTGACTGATGCTTTCAGGAAAAGTTATGATTGTGTTTGTAATGGTAGGATGGAGCACCGCATAGCCAGGCTTTCTGTATTCTAGGCAGCAATGAGACCAATAATTTTATATTCTGATAATAATGGCACTTTCATTCTTTTATGTTCTATAAGTATTTTCCTTTGTTAAGAATATTGATTTGGGGGCTGGGATTGCAGCTCAGTGGTAGAGTGCTCTCCTAGCACATGGAAGGCCCTGGGTTTGATCCTCAGCACCACATTAAAAATAAATAAATAATAAATAAATAAAATAAAGATATTGTGTCCAGTTACAACCAAAAAATAAATATTAAAAAAGAATATTGATTTGATCCTATGATGAACTAATGACTTGGTAGGAGTTATTGAAAATACATGTCCTTATATTGTTCATAGCTTGTAAATTGTGCTTAAATCCCTAAATTAATAGAGTTAAAAAAATTTTCAGCACCACAGCTGAGCGTTTTCATCTAAATGAAAATTTCATATGTGAATCTGTGGCCACTATTTGTTTCTTTGGGGAGATATCATGAAAGTTTGGATGGGGAAATTCAGTTTAATCTGCTTCGATATATACAGATTATGCCTTAAAAGTAAATGTTAAGAGTTGGGGATATAGCCCAATTGGTAGAGTGTTTACCTCGCATACATAAGGCCCTGGGTTCAATCCTCAGCACCACATACACACACAAAAGTAAGTGTTAAAATTTTTAACTTTAATATTTAATATAGGTTAGAAATATATGTATATATATTTACCTATACATACATACTTACATATATGTACACATGTACTTATATATTCAGCAAAAATGATAATCCTTGGGGAAACAAGTTAAAATAATTTTTATCATTTATTTAAATTAATCTGTTTTTTCTTCTATTATACAGCCCAAGTTATATTCTTTTCCATAAAAAGATATAACATTAGGTTTAATGAATTAGATTTTAATAAAAATGTTTATTATATAAATGAGTTGTTTTATTTATAACCAGGAAAATATTAGACTTAAATATTTGGAAATTAACCAAATTTTTGCCTGATGAAAGGAAAATTAAAAGGAAGAAAGTTGATCATCATTAAGTTTCTCCATTTAAAAATATAAATTTGAGTCTACTTCATGGACAATGATAAAATTTAAAAAATGACAGTTTAGCTGGAGACTGCATAATAAAATGAAGAGAAATGAAGGTACATTCAAGCTAATGCATTATGCCTTATGAAAAGGAAGCATTGATGCTATTCAAATACACCTCCTTCAATATTGGGGAACACATTTTAGAAAAACAATGAAGTATTTATTAATAAATGAAGCTATTAAACCATATATACATGTAGACATAGGATAATGAAATCATCATTTTGACCACTCTAGTAAATTCTATAAAAGAAAGTTGGTTTTTTCTTTCTGGGCATGTGGAGACAATTTATTTGAATACATGATTTGAAGAGATAAAAAAATATATAAATTTGAGTTAGTGTTGTTTTTTAATATACAATAACAGTATTTGTTGGCAAAAGAATGGTGTCAACTCTGAAAATATATTTTTATTAAAGAGGACTATTTCAAACTTACCTGACAGTGGAATGAAATCAGACAGCTTTTTTCCCCCCAGTTCCTTTTGTAACAAAGAACCAAATTAAAATAGTATGAAACTCTTGAGGTCCACAGGCTTTATCAAGTTTATTCTTCCTGGT